GCATCGGTGTCTGATCTGCAGTCCTTCTAAGTCATAGGTACTTGCTGAACTCCTATTGCGTAAAAAATATGATTTATCGGGATCCTTTACCCCCGCTTTGGTGAGAAATCTGTCGAAGGTACAGAACCAGTGCCACCATATTTTTGAGGAGTAAGGAGCGTTCGAGTCCGCATAGAATCTTTCGGGTCGGAGGTAGTGTTTCATTTTGAGATGAACTATAGATTGAATAAGTTGATGTGCATCAGAAACAGTTTTATTCCACTTCATTCGGTATGCGTTTTGCACCTTCACAGTGAACATGAATGAAGAATAAGGATATTTCCCACTTTGGGTATATTTGTGATGACCGACAAAGATCACTGGGTAGCTGTTTCGTTCTGTTTGAGACTCGTCAAGAGTGCGTAATTTTTGTGTCCCTATCTGGGCTCAGACTGCTCTTTGTCGGTCATCACAAATATATCCATCGCGTTAAAGTGCATTTATCTAGTGGGGACTTGACGATCTATCAAGGAGTGAAACCCACATCCAAGAGTGCCTGGTGCTCTAAAAGGAGAATATTTCCCGTTCGTCTCCAGTTCGGGCAACTCTTGTCAGGTTTTTTTATATTTTAACTAGAGTGCTGAATTTTTTCTAACCCTTAAAGTGAACTCAAAGATTATCCAAATGTCTAGAAATATCAGCATTAGGATTCTGCAGGTTTCGTATTCTTTGGGATTCTCCGTTAGTCGACACCTTTTGGTTTGCGATATCCCTTAAGTGCAACAAAGCGGTCGCTTTGAGAATTTCACTCCTCGTTGGAGGCTTTTATCTTGATCTGTTGTTCAATATCTCTCAACCTAGGATAGATTGCCTCTTATAATTGTTTTTGCTTTCTATATTCGTATCCTTTTAGAATGAACTGCTTCCGGAACGCTCCTTGCCTTAATATCTCGTAGGTGACTTTTACTACTCATTAGTAGTCCATTCTTTTACAACATTTTTCCTTCGGTCAATGAAAATCAAAAGTTTCTTCACAAATGTTTTCAATTTACCACCATTTTTTAGTGCTGGAATGGACAATGCTCCTTCAAAAAACTGGGAGCTCACCCTTTATGAATTACATCGAAAACCCCAGGAACCAATTACAGATGGCACAGAAATCGCTGTCAGTCCTAGAAGTTTGAAGAGCGAACTTATGTGTCCGATATGTTTGGATATACTCAAAGTGACGATGACTACCAAGGAGTGCTTGCATCGATTCTGTTCTGAATGCATTGTCACAGCCCTACGAAGTGGTAACAAGGAATGTCCAACGTGTCGCAAAAAGCTTGTTTCAAAACGATCTTTGAGGAGAGACCCTAACTTCGATGCTCTTATCGCAAAAATATATCCCAGTCGTGAGGTAATCACCAACTTTGAGGAGCGTATCCTTATGTTCATTTATTTTAAATCCTTTTGCTTATCTTGCTGAATATACGGTGATCTTTGAATATCAACGAGTATAATGATAAGTTACTGTGTTTGTTGATTTCGAAATTAGTCACACAAATTACTGTCATTAGGAGAGAACGATTTAATGTCGGGTTTTTAATTACATGTTTCGTCGTTGCTATTTGGAAACCTGGTGATTGCTTGAAGTCTTGATCCTGATTTTACTTTTCGCGAACTCCAAGCGGTTAAATTTCGTAAGACTCTAGTCGAGCATAATTCGCACTCTTCCTTGTTCTAGAGGCCATGCAACTATTAAGTTTTCTGCGTTACTTTCCTCTGTGCAAGTGAAAGCTGAATTTTAGAAATATAATAGGGTGTAATAAAATAATGCAATTCCTATCATTTGATGACGAAGAATGTACCAATTCATAACTTTTATGAGGTTGGCCCCGTGTTGATCGGGGACCATCAGCTCTGCCCCAGATTATACCAGTTTCTCTCGGAATGTAGCTTAGCGCCTGGTACAGCATGTTGTGGTTCATTCATTCAAAGCCTGTACAACGTTTTCCACCTCTTATATACTGATCTTATTAAATACCTTTCTTCCTCATCCATTCTTTCTTGCTAAATACAAATGTACGCACCGGGGCTTATAAGCTTTCTGTTATTCCTTATTTAATTGGTTTTCGCAAACTTGTATCTGGTTTCATCTGAACTGCGCAAGATGTAAAATTAAACTCCTAATTAATACGGTGGTATTTCCATTCTTCGTTGTTGTGTCATTGGTAACTTTCTATACTCTACTGTCCACTGTTGGATACATAGTGATCATGTTGCTGAATATTCACCCCTCGAGGTTGATAAAACGATTACTTGACTTGACTGAACACGGAAATCTGTATCCTATTTATGCTGATGTGCACAAAAAGACTTATGTTGTTCTGTTTATTTTATCAATGACTCAAAGAACGATGTGTTGTACCCGGCTAGTTCACTTGTATGCTCTGCAAAAGAAACGGTTTCTGCCTCTGATGATTGGGTTGGTAATAACCTGTTCCTATATTCCTCAGCTTGTAAGTGATGTAATTAACACCTTAAGGTAGTATGTTTTTGATTTTTATGCTAACTATTGAGGCTTGATTCTCATAGAGAATGAAAAGGAAAATGAACTGTGGCTCAACTAGCAAAATCGTAAAATTTCACCATGGCTGTTTTTTTACCAAGTTGTACCTTTACGCGATCCAAACGGTCTGTCTGTAGCGAATGACCTCACGGCTTCTGTTTTCTGCCTCCTCTTTGATTATGATCTAAGGAATACGAAGCCCACCAAGATAAAATTTTGGCTAAATTGAACCGCCATCATTTGAGTGCTGTGTTAACTCGGTCACTGGAACAACAATTGGGTCTAACTGCTAATCGCG